AATAAAAACTATGTATACTTGTACTGACTGATAAAGGACAGGCCTATGCTTGGGGTTCAAATTGGTATAGACAACTGAAGAATATTCAAGGCTCTGTTCTATCGACAAGATTCTTCTATCGTAGAATATGTTGTCGATAGAACAGAGCCTTGAATATTCTTCAGTTGTCTATACCAATTTGAACCCCAAGCATAGGCCTGTCCTTTATCAGTCAGTACAAGTACATAGTTTTTATTTTTTTAAATAGAATTTTCATATACCAAATGTATGAAATATATTACCATATATTTTCACCTACTTGGGGGAATATCGGCCAATGCATTTCTAATATAAGCAACATTGGACTAATGTTTCTTATATTAACGCCAATGCACTGCCCAGCGAGTGATTCGTCGAAACGATGTCGGCACCGTCAAATTGGTGTCGAGTCGACATCGTTTCTACATGTTGTCAATATCTCTCTATATTCATTTCTCTATGTGGCGATCGAACGAAAAACCAACAATGTTTTGTTTGGTTTTGAACCCAGGTCTTCGGATTAGCAGACCAGCGCACAATCCTCTGCGCCACGATCGCCACAGAAAATATATTATTTAAAAAATCGTATATAATATTATATATGTCAAAAATATACTAAAAATTATGTGAAATATGTGAACAATATTTAAATTACGTTTTTATAATTTTGCAGTAATGCTCTTCGCTGCCGCGAGGCGGCGATCGCACGTTACACTTTCTCGTATTGGAAAATCAACCAAGAGCAGTACCTAATATTAGAGTTATATTGGAAGTGCATCGGCCAATGTTTAACAATGCAATAAGAATATTAGTACAATATTAGACCAACATTGCTAAAAGACATATCGGCTAAATGAGAGAAAGTGTCGATCTTACGATATTGGAGCAATATTGGGAATACTAGATTTACATCATTTCCCAATGTTACGCCAACATATTGTGCTACTGGAGGAAGCTGATTCCGCGGCGAGGAAGAAACTATATACAGAAAGAGGACGAAAGAGGCAATTGTACAAAGGAATTTTGTCTCTTTCGCGTTAATTCTCTCGCCGGACACAAGAAAGGTCGTCCGCAGGGCACCGAGGGTCCCGGGGAAGGAGAAGGTCGTTGAAATTCCATAAGGGGGGTGGGCGGGCGGAGATACCCGGGACGTGCAACGCGCTCTAGCGCCCGCGCGCCGAGTTAGATCCCCATCGAGAGGAAGTCGCGTACTTCTGCGTCCCAGGCGGGTCACGGCGAAATACGCGTTGCGCTCGGAGATCGCGAGGAGTTTTGCGCTTCTCTCCCTGTTGTCCCTCGTTACGTGCACGCCCGCGTGACGATCGCGAGCGATGGGGAAGACGAGGACGGGCAAGGCTGCCATCACGTGCACGGTGGTAGCGTTCGTTCTGGTGGTGATCGCGTTCACCACACCCAACTGGTTGGAGACCGACGGGAAACTCGATAATCCGCAATTCGTCAAAATCGGTAAGATTACGCGCGACCGGGCGCCGTCGATCTGTATCTGCATGTAAAGTTCGTATTTTAAAAAAACAGAATATTTAAACATTGGACGCAGACGCGAGGGAATGGTCAGTTCTCGCGCATGCCTGTTGCATGACGTTTTTGAGTGTGCACGTTACGCACAACTGACCGCCAGAAAATGATTATTTTGTATAGAGGAAAATCCCTGTTACGAGAGATGGACTTCTAATGTGAGGTAGCAGGCCTTCACCGTCCAAATTCAATCTTTTTTTTCGCAACGATCGCGCGATTTAACAATGAACTTTCTCCACTGAACGTATTTCGCCACAAGGGCAATGAGTGCATGATGGAGTCAACAGATGATGCCTATTTAATTCGGCAGAAACTCCGTAGTCTCGTATTAGGAGCTCGTCTCATAACAGGGGACTTTACTCCGTTTCTTATTACGGAGTTTTTTTCCTCGTATTCGAAGAGTTACGTCATGAAAGTCGTGTTTCTCTGCAAAATTAGAATGGAGTCCTCTGTTGTGAGAGAGCCCGGGTTTCTGCTAAACTAATGGGTACCGTCTGTTGGCTCAGCCATGAAAGTTTGCCCTCGCAGTGAAGTCTGTTTAGTGGAAAATTCGTTGTTAAATGCGTGTAACCGTTGCGAAGTTGGATGTTGAGAACCCGCTATCTCATAACAGGGGACCTTAAGCCTGCATCAGACTACGGATTGAGATTAGATTGAAATTGGACCGATCAGAGTAAGGTTTGCTAATCTCAAGTTTGGCGAATTTCACTCCGATTGGTCAGATTTCAATCTAATATCAATCTCAATCTGTTGTTTGACACGGGCTTAAGCCTGCATCGGACTACGGATTGAGATTAGATTGAAATTGGACCGATCAGAGTAAGGTTTGCTAATCTCAAGTTTGGCGAATTTCACTCCGATTGGTCAGATTTCAATCATAATATCAGTCTCAATCCGTAGTTTGACGCGGGCTTTAGAAGCACGAGACACTTGGCTGGCAGCGACAGAGCGATTGAGTGTAACGACGCTGTCATTGCAGGTCTCTGGCAGGTGTGTTTCCAAGGATTCCAGGATCCGCGTCATCTCTACGACACCAGGTTCTACGGCTGCTGGTGGGTGTTCGAGGAGGAGTATTACATCATACACGACATACTTCTGCCGGATTTCTTCGTCGCCACGCAGTTCTTCTTCACGCTCTGCCTGACCCTGTTGCTGATAGGCAGTTTCCTCACCATCTTGTACACCTGCTGCTCGCGCCATCACGACAAGTATCAGCTGCTCCTGTGGACGACTGGCGGCAATTTAACCTTGGCGGGAGTGTGCGGCGTGATAGCGGTCATCATATTCGGCGCGAGGGGCGACGGGCGGGATTGGATGCCCAATTGGGAGCACAACGACATCAGTTGGTCCTTCGCCTTGGCCGTCGTGGGTAGCATCGCTCTGATAGCCGCCGGTATACTCTTCCTGATCGAAGGTCGCAGGCACAGGAAGAAGCAGCAGCAAATATTGGACGAGGAGCAGAAAACGCACACGACCATTTAGCACATTTTTACATCGTAATCCAACGCGGACACTCGCATCGAAATGATCGCGAAAGCGAAGGGAAATTTTATCTATTTTATCAACGCGCATCGGACAAATTCTTTCAAGACTAATAATTTTATATCGTTACACATCTACTCGTCGTAACATTACATAAGATCTGCCGGTATATATCTAAGGTACACGCATGTATACATATGTATACATGCGTAAAATGCCAGACATATATGTGGATATATTATCTAAGGTATATATGCATTTTAATTAGTTTAAGATACACCGAGCCATTTTACGATTATCCTTTTGCGCCGACAAAAGTCTAAGTTATAAAATAACTTCTATGAAAAAAAAGAGATGCACTACTAGAGTCTACTATAACGTAAGTGCTGTTAAATGTGTCAGCGTGACGCACATATCGGAAACGATCCGTCCATTTTTCCGTATTGTTTTTGAAAATGTTCGTAGGGACTAATTTTATATACATGTACATAAGTTCTCTAGGTATATTGTTGATGTTACGCGAGAGACGAATCTCCCACTTGTACCGTAATACATGCGGCATAATAAAATAATTTTTCCTAATAGCCGACGTGTTGTCACTCGCGCGGGTATTCAGCGTAATGAACCCTCGAAACGCAAATTAAGTCGATTAAGCGCAGCTCCGCGCGTGCACGCGGTGACCCACTTTGTTGCCGCAAATTTTATCGTATAAATTACGAGACGCCGGTCTCTCGCGCGCACGCGATACCGCGGAGGAAAGTGTCCGTCGCCCGTTTGACCTAAATCAGATTCTATTCTAATCGACCGCGCTCGAAGAATCTTCCGCGGTTATGTCAGCCGCGGCCGGTAAACCGCGAATGCGTCACCGTGGGTCTCCTCGAGGTGACGCGTTTGCATCTTACGGCGGAATTCTGCTGAGCGATGACTCGCGTCGTCGCGTAATTACGGTATATAACTTTCGTGATTCAGCCGCAGGATGTACGGCTCGCATTCCTAGGAATACAGCGGTTTAACATTTTTTTAGAGAGAAAGGGAGAACGTAAATGAAAGTGATGTAAGAAGGTTTGCAAGAAGAGAGCGGAAGTCGCGTATCAGAGAAAAGAGTTCCTCCTCGAGGAATAAGTCACGCCCGTTTTAGACGATCTGGGGGGTCAATTCTGTATCTTGCAACATAGTGAAAACGCTAAAAGTGAGCGACTTTGTCTCTCTTTTTTTTAAGAGGACAGATAGAAAGAAACAAGGCTGCTCACTTTCAGCATTTTCACTGTAAGATGCAGAATTGACCGCCGGATATTTCTCGAGATAGAAACTATCGCGTCTCAACCTTTTAGCCTAAGCCTAATGTTACATTTGTCGTGAACGACAATTTTCTTAAGCGTGTTGATTGGCTGCTGAATAGAAAATTTCTAGATACTCGAGAATATTTCAACGCGTGTATATCTCAAAAAAATTTGTGTCCTTTGATTCTTTGATCGCTTCTCATTATTGCGAAATTATAAACCGAGTATCGTGCTGAATTCCGCGATGCGTTTTACGGATCGTCCAACAGTAAGACAGACCTGAGCCTGATCTACAATGTGCTCTTTGCGTCTAGAAACATTCTATTTTATAGTCAACGAATACGTTTAAAAAATTTATGCAAGTTAAGTGCATATTGCCGTTAAATTTTTAAGCATTTTGATTCACTTATATAAAATAGAATGTTTCTAGACGCAAAGAGCATATTGTAGATCAGGCTTAAATCAAAACGCTTAAAAAATGTATCGACAATACACGATTGTACAATATATAATGTACAATTTATCAATTTGCGCACATTTTAAACGTATTTACTGACTGCAAAATAGAACATTTCGAGTCGCGAGGAGCATATTGTAGATCAGGCCTTAGGTTTAGAAACGCATTCATCCGCGGTCTGCTTGCGTCCTGCAGGATCAAGGCCGGAATGCGATCATGAGAAGAGAAACGATATACGCATAAACACGACGTGATATGCGGTGACACATGCACCTTGACGGGTGCAGGGGCGACGAGAAAGACGCAGCGGGAGCGTCGCGATTCCAGATTTTCGGAGACGTGCGCCGGGCAAAATTTTAAATCGTCGATTTCATTGATCGAATCCCTCGGTCGACTCACTTCGCGATACTCGTTGCCTCGCGCGATTCGATCAACGCCAGTTTCACACACCTTTTACGACTGTTTACCTCTCGATATCACGAGACACGGTAGTGTCTCGCGCCAAGTATAAGCGTAGCTAGATTATAATAAACTTGATCGACTTTTGTATCTCGCGGTGAACGAGGATGCGCCGCGCGAGGGAAAATTTATCCTCAAAGGGGAAACCAACGCGCTTCCCTCTCCCTCTCGTGTGCGAAAGCAAATTTAAAGATCGATTTCTTCGGTGGTTCTGTTAGAACAGCTGTTCCCTTCTTTCTCTCTTCCGTCGGACTCGTCGGAGCCCGCCGAGCCCGCCCCGTGGACGGTCCTGCGCAGATTCGTTACGTTTAACGCCCCGCTCATGAGACACTCGCGCGTGGCTCGAGGTGAGACGCGGGTAAGGTTAGGTTAGGCTAGAACTCGGCCGTTCGCTCCGCCAATAACGCGGGTCGCTTGGGTGTGGTTTATTAGAGCCGTGGGACCGTCAGGTAGAGCGATTGTGTTCCATGAGAGTGTAGTTTACGTCGCGCACCCAGCCAGGCGGCCGGACGCGTCTCGTGCCTCACTTTCGCGATCGTCCCGGGTGCAGGCGCAACGGCGACGATGAAGAAGAGAAGCCTGTCCGGCAACGTCGGCGTCGGCGTGTTCCTGGTGGGATTCGTCTGCGTGTGCGTCGCGTTCGGCACGCCCTCCTGGTTGGTCAGCGACCCGCGGATCGTCGGGGCGCAGCTCGACCGACTCGGCCTGTGGCGGCACTGCTTCAGGTCGCTACCCAATCCCCAGGAGTCCGACGCGCCCAGGCGGTTCTTCGTCGGCTGCCGATGGGTCTACGACCCGTTCACCGCGGGCTACTCCGAGATCCGCGGCTTCCTGCTGCCCCGTAAGTGGTCACGCGGCGGCAGCTCGTGTCCGCGGCGTCGAACTCTACCCAAGGAGAAATGGGAAGTCAAGGTGAAGTCAATTTCGCGTCACATTGGCCAAAATGTGACAAGTTTGGCGAATGTAACATCAAATTGACGTCATCTTTTCATCTTCCCCTTGGGTTATTTTTCCTCGGAACAAGAGAGATTTGCTGTTTCTCGCAATAGCAAAGCGCCATGGACTGCTGCGTTGACAGCGTAATGTTCGCTGGAAAAGTAACAAGCTAACAAGACTCTTCGTCACTTTGTGTCTAACGTGATGTTTCTTTGTCGCAGCATTTATGATAGCTACACAAGTGTTCTTCACGATATGCTTCCTGCTGGGCCTGATATCGTTCTTTCTCATACTACTCTTCACTCTGTGCTGCGACCCGGAGCGAAAGAGGTACATCGAGCTGATAACCACCATCGGTTACTTGCTACTGGCCAGCGGTCTCTGCGGTGGTTTGGCGGTCATCGTATTCGCCTGCCTCGGTAACGCGGACGGCTGGATGCCCGGACACTCCAATAACTATCTAGGATGGTCCTTTGCTCTGGGCGTCATAGGCAGCGTACTGACACTGATCGCGAGCGGTTTGATGCTGGTGGAGGCAAACGTGCAACGAAAGAAACGAGACTACCTGAAGGAATCTCAAACGCGTTTCCAACTGGAGTCCCGCGCCTAGAGCGGGGACGCGCGCGCACACGAGCGTCCGTACGAAAAGTCTGTAGTACCATTCCGTCCATAAGGTGCAACGTTTTTACCGTAGAACTTTTCTCTTATCCGTAGACTGTACAGACCAGAAAAATATAACACGAAACAGATCTGCATTAATTTAAGTTTAGACAGGTACGTAAGTTTAATATTTTTGTACGATATTTTATATCTCTTTATAACATCATGTATATGGGACCGCAGTATTGTACGATGTTATTATTAACGATGTATATGGGACGACATATGCGCGTCTTGAAACACTTGTAGAAAAATTCGCGAGGAATCGATTGATCACGATATTTTTATTCGGAGCAATTCGGATCATTTTTAATATGAATCTCGACCGATCGAGCTTTGAGCCGCGACGAGAGAGTGAGATTGCGTTAATCGCGCGGTTATTTTTCTTCCGTCCAAACCTGGAATGCGCGCTTTTAATAAATATTTTATCATAATTTTGTAGTTTTAACTTGGACTTCATCGTAGGGACGTGGTCATTTTTATGACTTGTGTGGCCGTACACGAATTTTTTAGTGCTTTGAGACGCGGATTATTGAAATAGCTTGTATATTGTACCTACATATATACATATATATTTATATATGATATACATATTAAGTTCTACGCACGAGATTTAAGATAGTCGCACGACGCAGCTACGCATTTCCACGTTTGTGGAAATGTCAACGAGATTAATCGCGCACAAAGGTAAATTTTATAACTCCGTCCGTTACTAAATAAAACTTCTAATAAGAAAACTTTATTCTCTACAGCCTATCAGTCTCACTTAAATGTATACACGTAACAAATAAATTACATCTCTCGACAGATAAGATTGTAAACACGATTTGCGTCCACTGACGGAAGATGGGCTGAAAATCCTGAGCTACTTTTATCCGTGATGTCAAATCCTCCCAATTATAGCGTCGCTCTTCGTATAATTTTCATTTTCTTCATGGATGTAAAATCAAGGTCCTCAAAATCATTGTTAATTTACCGCAGCGTCCTAAAGATTGTGTTCAAATTACATGACAGTAACAGAATGAAACTGCTAGCGAAACAAATTACCGATATTTCTGACAACATGTGCATGTCCGATGATTCATAAAAAAATAATTGCTTACGCGATACGTTCAATATAATTTACACTGCCTACATGTACCTAATTTGTAAACTATATTATAATAAAATATAAAATTAGGTACATGTATAATAAACTATATTTTATTATATTATATTTTATTTGTTTTGTTTGAGTAAATTAACAATGATCTTGATGATTTTGATTCCACATCTACAAGGAAGATGATTTACACAGAGAAAGGCGCAAAGGACAATTTACGACGAACACGCAATGCGCACATGAAGATCAGCCTACATTACCGACAGACGGCAAAGCTCCGACTGTCGGCAAAGTACCATGTCTTTCCATTGGTAGAATTGATAGCAATGGCGTGGGCTCTCACTGGGTGTGCTGGGTGTGGCGAGGATAAAGAGCTTCGGTGACGAACGAAAACAACACTCGTGAACGAACGAGTTGCACAAGTCGATCGGTTTCGCGTTGGACTTCCCGAGGGGTCATCATGACCGTGGACAAGCAAGAGTATCACAGGGCGTCCAGTGAGTAAATTGTTCAGGTCGCTCAGCAGAGCGTTTGTATCTAAAGTAACCTGTACTAGCGCGTTTTGAATTTTTTCACCGATAGACGCGGTCGTTTTCGGCGGCGGGCTCACGTTCGTGGCGCTTTTCCTTCTAATGATGGCGTTCACAAGGTAAACATGCGTATTTCCGTGCAATTGCTACGAGCGACGATCTCGCGCGATTAACTGGACGCGCATGAGAACCGTCACTGATCCCCGCCCGCATAATTTCCAGCCCGTACTGGATCCAATCGTACCAGGAGACGTTCAGCAGCTTTAAGCACATGGGACTCTGGGAATACTGCTTCGAGCAATTCCGCTATCCCTACTATCAGTTTGACAAGCAGTTCGACGGCTGTCACCACATATTTTCGCAGGAGTACTACGTCATAAGGGAGTGGCTGCTGCCGGCGTGGCTCATGATAGTACAGACGTTCGTCACGCTGGCCCTGTTGCTCTCAATCTTCGCCTTTGGCGTGATCGCCCTGATCTGGATACGTTGGCCGTTGAGATTCGTCCTGCATTACGAGTGGATCCTGTCGTCCGCCGCGTTCATCTGCAACGCAGGAGCCGGTAAGCGTAGGAGTACAAAAATTGAAGACAGAAGACACCAAAAGGGTTCCTTAACACCTGGCTCTTTAATTTCAGGCGTGTTTCTCTTCCTGGCGGTCTCCATATTCGGCGGGCAGTGTTGGCGCCGGGACTGGTTGATGTACCCGAATTTCAATTACTTGTCGTGGTCGTACGGCCTCGCAGTCATATCGTTCATGATCCACACGTTCGCCGCGTTCTTCCTTTATCTGGACGCGCGAACGGGTTACAGATTGCGCAAGGAGTCTCGCAACTTGGTGATGCAGATGCAACCGAATCCGCAGTCCCATCACGGGCCGCCGCGAAGCGGATACGTATAATCGAATCGCGCGCCCCTTCGACGAGAAGTTCAGTCTCGACGCGAAGCTCTTACAGTTTTAATTAATGACCGAGCGAAAGATAGATCTGTCTCTTAAAGAGAGTCCGTGCACCACGCGTGCACGATTTTAATCCGTCCACTTGTGTTTGTTCACTAAAAATAATAGTAAGAACTTGGAATGCTACCGTTATTTTTAATGAATAGCTCCGCGTGAGAGCGATCGACCGTAGTCGGCAGGTCCCGGTTTCGATCCTCCCGACCTTCATTCTATTATATGTGCCTCAGTTTTAAGAGGTTGAATAGAGAGTTGAAGGTTACAAGTGCGAAGGAGCACGGGGCGAATTGTAACCCGATTGAAACGAAAATCCACAATTTATATTTGTATTTAATCATTTAAGAAATGCAAACACGTATATCTTAAGATCGTCGCCTTCTCTCGGGCTAATTATACTCAATTCTCTTGAAGCTAATTCGCTTGTGCGTGAATAATCTCCGTCCATTGTTCTACTCACGCATGCACATCATTTTTTTTATATCACGATTTTTATATATATATTTTATAAATATTATATAATGTGTATAATATATAGAATTATATAGCATTTTGACTTACAAATATATAGATAATCGGTGAACAGAAAGACGGGCAAGTTGCCGCAGGAAGTTTTACTCACCCGGAACGTTCGCTTGCGACGCAACGTCGAGCACGTAGCGTATGGTGTCCAGTTCGAGATTTGCGTCGAGAACGATGAGGCTTGCTCCCTCGAGATGCGACTGACACTCCTTTATCAACTTCGGAGTGATCGCGGCGAAGGACTCCATTTCGCTGACGTTGAAGTTGCACTCGCCATTAGCGTCCAGCACCACCGTGAATCTGTAATATTAAAACGGCGCAATCTATTAGAATTGTCCTTTTTATTATAGGAAGTAGAACGGCAAACGCCATTGCTAGTTGGACAATTGGGACGCGTCTGGCTGGTTCTGAAAGTCTTCTTCACAGCCGGAAATGTCGCAACCGTAAAAAGGTCGCCTGTTATAAATTTGTGAATTTGGGTAACTATGCGGAAAGAATTTTTTCTTAAAATTTATCCTGAAAATCATGTAACCGTGGGATATGGCATTTTGAAGAATTTTCTAAGAGTTTTTTTTTAATTTTACCATACATTTTACTCGTAGTTGTACTTTGTACAGAGGAAAGTCCCCTATTATGAGATAGGCTCCTAATACGAGAGCGAAGTTTCTGCTAAATTTAATAGGCATCTGTTGGTCCCACCATGAATTTATTGCCCTTGGAGTGAAGTCTGTTTAATTGGGAAATTGATAGATTGTGTAATCGTTGCGATTGAATTTGGACGTTGAAAACCTACTATCTCATATTAGAATCCAATCTCATGTTAGAGGACTTTCCTCTACATTTTACTAGTAGAATATAAAATTTCGAGAAACTCGTGAAATTCTTCAAAATGCCATGTTCCGTGGATTTACATGATTTTCAGGATAAACTTTAAGAGAAAATTCTCTCCGTGTAAATGATAATTTCCAGCGATTCGGATATTATACCGGGTATCACGGAATTGCTCGGAACAGCTAAATTATTTCCTAGAATTCTACTGTTTTCCAGGAGAAACGAAATAATTCCGATCGGAGTGCACCCCGCGCGTTCCCACGATAGTCCCCGTCGTCGAGTCCGAGTGCGCAGCCTTGTTACGTATTCGGCGGTACCGCCGGACCGGTCTCTCGCCGTCGAGTACTCGCCGACGACTCGTACCTCGCGGTGTCCACGCCTGGCACGCGCCTCACCGTCTCGCCCCCGGCCCCCAGGCTCTCGAGAACGGTCCTCCCATGCTCGTCGTCGCCGACGACGGATATCAGACGCGTGTTCCCCAAGCCGAGCCTGAGCAGCGCGTCGGCGACGTTCCGGCCGACCCCGCCGCAGCTGCGTCTGCTTCGCCCGGTGTACGTCCCGCCGTCATTCTGAAAGCGAATCGCTCCCGTCAGGATTACTCGGTACTAGCATTCGAATTCCGCCGGTCACGACCGATCGATCTTCCACGCGGCGAGGAGGCAGAGGAATAAAAAAAAAAGGAGACAGACTAAAGCCATAAAAGTACTCTCTTCCCCGAAGAGAGCGCGTGAAAGGGCGAATCCAGCGGAAAAAGAAAGCCGCCCCCCGGCTGTAAGGGGTTGCTCCGCGAGGATTCAATTAGACGTCGCGAGCGCGTACGCTTCGGTGGCGCGCGGCGAATACTCGAGGGGAAGCGCGCCAAGACCCACCCCAGTGATATTCAAGCTGGTGTATAGCGCGCTCACCCCCTCCCGCCCCCGACCCCGCGGCTTTGATACGCGGTATAGCCGGTATGCCCGCGCGCGTATATCACGTATCCCCCCATACTCTCCTCCTCTTTCCGCTCCGTCTCCTCGCGCCACCACCACGTCCGGTGGTAACATACGCGGCTGAACACTTTTATCTCTCCACCTCTTCCTTCCACCTCGGCTCTATTTCTACGTGTTCAGCGATGTGCTTGGGGCTGCGCGCACCCTTCCGCGAGCGAGACCCCGTCAGTCGGACCTATTTCTCGCGGTGCTCCGTTTCGATGTCCCGCGGCTAACAATAAGACCCGAGTCCCGCCCGGCCGTCACGTAGCGCCGAGACCGACGTCGGGACGCGAGTTTATCCCCCTGCGAGCCCCGGCCCGAGCCCAGCGGTCGCTGGTAGATCGAAGCGGAGCCCGCTTCGCCCACTTCCGATCGTCCGCCCTTGCGGATCACTCCCTTCGCGTGTCTTCCCTCTATCTATCAGTGTGCCTTGCGAGCGGCGGCGGCGGCGACGGCGGAGAGTCTCCTCGACCCCCGAGCCAGTCCGGTTGCCTGTCGCGGGCGCTGATCGACGCCGACCACCCCCGCGGTCCACGTACCCCCCGGTTTGCCGCGTGTTCTCCGCGTCGTCAGGATAGAAAGAGAGAGGCCCGCGGGACAGGCAAGGCAGATAGGTAAAAAGAGCCGCGCGTGTCCGCCTGGAGGCACCGTCCCGTGCGTCGGGCGCGCGGGGCGAGAAGCGTCGGGCGTCCGTGGCCGCGGCGTCGCGACGGTGACGACGACGACGACGACGTCGCGCGCACGAGCTCTCGACTCTGCGTGATCCGTGGCAGTGAGAGGCAGCGCGTCGCGTCGGGCCGCGTCGCGCCGCTCCACGAAGCGTCGTGCGAGCGACATGCACCACGGCTGGCGACGGCCTTGTCAAGTGTCGACTGTGAGCAGGAGGACGGGGACGAGGCCGCGACCGAGGCCGAGGACGAGAGCGAGGACGTCGACGGCGGCGGGTACCGCGACGGTGACGACGTCGGGGTGCTGGTGAGAGAGCGAGAGAGGTGCCAGGAGTACGAACGCGGGCGACTGGCATGAACGACGACGACGTTGTGGACGACGTTGCCGAGGAGGACTCCCGCGGCGATGCCCGTGAAGGAAGCGCCGCGGCCACCACGACGACCACGACGACGACGACGGCGAAGACGACGACGGCGCTCGCGTTGCTCCTCGCGCATACCGCCGTGCTGCCGACACCCGGCTGCGGCGATCCCGCGGCGGTCGTCCCGGCGCGCGTAGGCTGCCCCGCGGAACTCGCGTCGTAGAAGGCGCGGTCGCTCCTCGGAGACGTCGCGCCGCCGTCCGAGGAGGCGGATCCCGCGCTCCCCGAGAGCGTTTCGCGTTTACCGTGCAGAGTCGGGGACGGGGAGAAGATCGAGCGGGAGCGCTCGCCTCCGGGACAAAGGACTCTCTCTTTCCGCCCGAGAGGATCTTAATTCCCCCGAAGAGAGAACAATAAGGCCCTACCCGAAGGACGAGACTACGAGGACCGAGACTACCTTGCTCCGCGACAGAAAGGACGCCGCACCTCGGCGCATCGCGCGTGCCTTTCGCCCGAAGGAGTCTCGCGCAGAGGTATCTCCCTTACGGATCGAGGATAAGCCGGGTTTCATCTTTTCGCGAGACAGTGTCCACCTCCTCCTCCTACGCCCTTTCTCGTCGCGGGTGAACCGCGCTTTCGCGGAAGGAAGTCGCTCGGAGCATCGCTCGGAGGGAGGGGGGGGGGGCGGCAAGCGATTCGAAGAGCGTGCCGGAGCACCCGAGGGGGTTGCCACGCGTCGACGTCCACGCCGTCCGGGAGTCGCGTCGACGGGGCCCGTGAAACGCGAGCGTTCGCGTGACGCGCGGCGTATAAACCCCTCCCCCCGCCCTCCCCCCCTTTCACCCGTTGGTGCACGCGGCGAAAATAGGACGAGGCGCAACGCAAGCGTGGCGTTAAATTCCTTCGGGAAGGTCGGGAGGAAGATTGCATAACGCCACGTTCCCTCCCCACATCCATCACCACCTACCCTCCTTCCCCCTCTCTCGCGTGCGCGCGCGCGCACCCACTACCGCCCGCGACTCCTCGTCGTCCTTTTTTTCACCCTCCTCCTCCCCCCCCGGTCCCTCGCGCCTCATCCTCGGGGATATGTCACCTCGTGTATCGATGTCTAATTAAAGGCCGCTCGGCGGTCTTTTTTTATCGCGCCCCCGCGGCCCCGCTCGGTAAAGACGCGCGGTATCCTCGTCCCCCTCGGCTCCTGGTATCCGGCGTCGGGAAAGGATCGCACGCGGCTCGCCGCGCGACATCGATCCGCGCGCGCCTCCTCTCTCTCTCTCTCTCGCTCTTTCCCTCTCGCTCCTTTTTTTCCCTCCGCGGGATTATGTAAAGTAGGCAGCGCTGGACGCCGGCCAGGACGTTGACTGTTCGTCTCCGGTGACGTCGGGGGAATTGTTTCTCCGTTAAGGACGAAGAGAGGTAACCGTCGGTGTTCCTCTTCCTCCCGCTTCCCCGCCCGCGTATATACGTTCCTCGCTCGTGTCGTGTGCCGTGCCGTGTCGTGCGTCGGTGTCGGAGCGCGCACTAACGCGCAGGGTTTAAACGATCGATGGGCCCTTGCCGCTTTCTCTCTCTCTCTCTCTCTTCCGTGTTTTCATTACAATGCGCCACTCGCGTATACTCGTGCAGCGGTCTGCTGCCCGCCTGTCCGCGTGCATGCAACGCGAGTGCCGACGCACGGAAACGGGAGCGCGTTTTGGCGCATCGCCCTGACCGAGTGTCCCGACGTCGGCGGTGCATGCCCGCGCTCTCGCGACCCCGGCGAGGGTATCTCGGCACGCCGTGCGGACAATCCTCGCCGGGATCCTCCACCGAGATTTCGGGTGTACGAACCCCAGTCAGAAATGACGCGTTGATCGACGTCAACATGACCGTAGATGGTACAATGTGCAGGCGCAATATTGGGAAATAATGTAAATCTATAATAGTATTCCCGATATTGGTTCAATATTGTAAGACGGACGCCTTCTCTTATTTAGCAATATTGGTCTAATATTGTATCAATATTCTAGATTTATATTGGAGGTGCATTGGCCAATATTTAATAATGTAACAAGGATATTGGTCTAATATTAATACAATATTAGACCAATATTCTTATTATATTATTAAATATTGGCCAATGCACCTCCAATATAAATCTAGAATTATATAATTATTATCGTGCAATATTTACATTTATTCCACGACCAATAATGGCTTCACGTTGAACAATAGCGGCCAATGCATTTCTAATATAACCAACATTGGGCCAATGTTTAGCCGATGCACTGAGCTTCTATAAGGGTAGTAAGTAGCATAATATATTGGCGGAATGTATTAGAAAATAATGTAAATCTAATATTCCCAATATTGGTCCAATGTTGTAAGATGGACGCCTTCTCTTATTTAACCACTGTGTCTATTTAGCAATATTGGTTTAACATTGTATCAATATTAGACCAATATTCTTATTGCATTGTTAAATATTGGCCAATGCACCTCCAATATAAATCTAGAATTATATAATTATTATCGTGCAATATTTACATTTATTCACGTTGAACAATATCGGCCAATGCATTTCTAATATAACCAACATTGAACCAATGTTTAGCCAATGCACTGTGCTACTAAGGGACCCTAGTAGTACAATATATTGGCGCAATATTGAAAACTAATGTAAATCTAGTATTCCCAATGTTGTAAGACGGACGCCTTCTCTTATTCAGCAATATTGGTTGAATAAATTGCAGCAACATTAGACCAATATTCTTATTACACTGTTAAATATTGGCCAATGCACCTCCAATATGAATCTAATATTGTATAATTATTATCGTGCAATATTTACATTTATTCACGTTGAACAATATCGGCCAATGCATTTCTAATATA